CCAGCTGGCTGTGCTCAGAGATGGGCTGAGATACGGCTGGTGTCCACATCTTTGCATCTAACAGCTCCTTGTGAGCTTTTGTTCCCTAAATTCTCCATATTTTTCATGATTTCATGTAGCTCTAACATATCCCATCTGTACTAAGCTGAAGAATTCATACTCACTTAATTCCTTCTTGTACAGAAATAGTGCCCTTTTTTAGGATGGAGTGAGAAGGACTTCCTGTGATATTCAAGGTGTTGACACACTGCAGCTTTATCTAGTAGATTTTCCTTTTAACAACAATGCCTGACACTCTATTTACCTGTTGACTGCTTGGGGTGATTCGACAACAGTTTCCATAAAACTCTCCACAATGAATCCAAGATCTTACCAGTTCATTAACAGTGAACCTAGAGCTCATCCTTGTATAAAATAGCTAGATATATTTTTCATATTTGCATTTTTTAACATCTTTTGTCAGTCTGTCACTCGGTATCACAAGATCCCTTTGCAGACAGTTTTAATATTTGCCAACTTTAGTATTTGTGTATTACTGAAAAGCTCATCCACTTCACCATTTCTCTCATTTTTCAAGTCCTTTTTTCTCTTCTTAGTTCTGGAGATGACCCTCGGTAGTACTGTGTTATATTCTGTCATCTTCCATAGCCCTGACCTTGGAGAAGAACAGAAGAGGAGATACCAGTTGATGGCACTAACTGAACCTCCTGTATTCCCGTACTTGCTGACTTCTTCAGGAACCCTGTGGGTCTGTGAAGCATCAGGCACATCATGCTGCTTTTGATACAGCTCAGGATATGGTTTCTGGGCTACAAGTGCACATTACTGGGTCATGTTGAGCTTCTTATCCACCACCACCCCCACGTCCTTCTCCTCAGGGCTGCTCCCGATCCATTCTCTGCCCAGCCTGTCCCTGTGCTCGGGATTGTCCCGACCCAGGTGCAGGACCTTGCACTCGGCCTTGTTGAACTCCATGGGGTTGGCATGGTCCCACCTCTCCAGCCTGTCCAGGTCCCTCTGGATGGCATCCCTTCCCTCTAGCATTGATCTCACCACACAGCTGGTGTCATTGGCAAACTTGCTGAGGGTGCACTGGATCCCACCATCCATGTTGCTGATGAAGAGACTGAACAGCGCTGGTCCCAGTACTGACCCCTGAGGAATGTCGCTCATCACTGGTCTCTACTTGGGCATGGAGCTGTTTGAGTGAGACCATCCAGTCAATTCCTTATCCACCGAGTGGTCCCTCTGTCAAATCCATGCCTCCCCAATTTAGGTGCAGTGTCAAATGCTTTGCACAAGTCCAGGTGGATGATGTTGGTTGCTCTTCCCTTATCCACCGGTGTTGTAACGCCACCGTAGATTGCCACCACATTTGTCAGGCACGATCTGCCCTTGGTGGAGCCATGTTGGCTGTCACCAATCACCTTATTTTCCATGTGCCTTAGCATGGTTTCCAGGAGGATCTTGCTGTGCACAGGTGGGACTGACTGGCCTGTAGTTCCCCGGGTCTTCCTTATTTCCTTTTTTAAAAAGGGAATTTGGCAATGTGTTACATGTTGATGTTAACAGTTAACCAGCCCATGATTTTTCTAGAGCCCCTTGGTGGACAGTCTCTTGCCCTGTTCCCCTCCTCTCTTTTCCATGACAACCATCCTGGTTGGTTCCAAAATGTTTACTGGCACTTCAGATCAAATCAATCCTTTCGACTCATCCCCCATGAAGGCAGGATGTGAGTTCTCTTGAGTTGCCTTACAGAGAAAACCAAGGCTGTCAGGGACTTCCCTGAATCCTTTTTCAGCCCTTGTCCCTTATCTCTCTTTTATGAACAGAAAGGGGAACAGAAACGTTTCAATGGTTCTTGGGGGGGGAAAAAAGCGAATAATCTCTTTTCCATGGGCGTAGCTGATTCAGTGAGAATGAACAGGCTTAGACTGCAGCAAAACCGATTCAGGTGAGGAGTTAGAAAATACTTTCTGGTATGGAGGGGAAGGCAGCCCTGGAGTGGGTGAGGAGCCTGTGTTTTTTGGAGGTCTCGAAAACAGGTTGAGCAAGTGTCTCTGAGGAATGTTTTAGGTCTGGCTGATCCTGCCTTCGGGCAGCAAAGTGGGCTAGATGACCTCTCAGGGTCATCTTTTTTGTCTACTGTTTTATAAATGAAGCCCCCAACGAAGAGAGCATCTCTCTGTGCCTGGCTTTCCCTGGGACCTTTCCATGGCCCCTGCATTTCTGGCTGCTCAGCACAACCGGTGAGTGGTGCTGGCACGGTGGGAGGGACAGGTCGGTGTGAAGATGGCAGGTCTTCACGCCAGAAAGAGATGCCACAGGGTAAGGAAACGCGGGAAAAAAAGTAGTAACGTGCACATAGGGACATGGAGGAGCTCTGCATCCTGTTGAAAGGGTGACAGGGTGGATGTGGTGACAGGGAGAGATGGAGGGACAAAGCCAGGGGGATCACAGGTCTGGTTGGCAGTGCCGTACGAGCAGTGCTAGGGCTGGGGGGTGGGCAGAGCTGGCAGGGCTGGATCGCCCAAGACCAAGTCCTGTCAGGAACTAGCTAATCCCAACCCCACCTCTGGGATCCCAGCAGCACACAGCCAGGCAGGGATCGCCCTGGGAGAAGGGTCTGGTAGAGTATCGTTATGAGCAGGGAAGCCCCAGATGGAGCAGCACTGCGGGATCCAGCGTAATGCTCATCGGGGTCCTTCTGCTGACCCCGGGAGCGGGGAGTGCTGGTTCAGGTCTGTGATGGGATTTAGGCAACACGCATGAGACCTCTTTAATTTTGGATATGAACATACCTCCTCTTTCCAGTGCCTGGATTTTGCCTGTCCTTTGTCCACTAGATCAGAGAGGCTTTCTGTAAGAAGAAATGGCTTCTTGGTTGTGGCAGTTGGTGCTATAGAGGTGCCCAGCTCAGCAGAGCGGGGGATGCAGAAACCCTTCGATCCTGCTGTCAGTGAGCCCGTCTGCAGCCATGAATCTTAAGATATTTGGTTTCCACATCATCCTCAGATCGTTTTTCGAGTCTACTCCCGTCCTGTGAGCATGATGTGCAGCCACGATCGCTCCCTCATAATGCACAGGGCAGGGGCAGTGCAAGTGCCAAGAAAAAGGGTTGTAGGATGTAGACAGTAAGAGCTGCATTACTGCTGCTTGAGGGGTTGTCTGTGTTGCACCAAACAGGAGAAAACGGTGGGAAGAGAGGGAAGAGGTGGTCTGGAGCTGAGACAAGTGGAGCATGTCACTTGGGTAGATGATATGTGTGTCCCGAGCAGGAAGAAGAGCTGCCCCCTGGTCATCTTGTACAGGGTGCTGAGGAAGGCACCCGGGCACTCAGCCTCCAGAGGTGATTAGTGTCGAACCAGGGACTCATCACGGGGTAACGAGGGGTCTGGTAGTCTGCCTCAGCTCCATGGGCAGCTGCCCACCTGAGGGAGGGTCGCAGCTGGCAGTGCCCAGTCTTAATAGAAATCAAAGGGAAGGTTTTGGTGCATTCATCAGCAGGTCTCCAGATTTACTGACCTCCAGAACAGCTGCCAGCATTTTATATACGCTCCCCACGCTCATTTGGAGCTGCGGAAGCTTAGCTCGTTGCTCTTATTCCCAGTGTTTATCATTATCATTAATGCTGTGATAAGGCCCAGCAATCCTCATCACAGAGGCTGCTCCGGGCTCATCGCACAGGACGGTCCCTCCCCAGTAGAGTCACTGCCCCAGGCACATCACAGCACCCCAAGCCATTCCCACCCAGGGTTGGACACAGTTCCAAGCAGCACCGGGAGGTGCGACCTCTTCCCCCGTGCCAGCAGCCCGGTCTCCTCCAGGCTCCTGGAAGGCTCGATAAGGCTGGCAGGAGGGTTATCTCTGAATTATTGAAAGTATCACGAGACACGCTCTTTGCATTTCCTGTTTTGTGGTTTTCTGTGATTATTAAAATGATATATTAACCAAAAGATGGAGAACTCCCAGTCAAGCAAACAGAGTATAAAAATAATGGCATTGCTTGGTAAAAGCAGTGGGATCACGGGCACTTTGATGCTGTGTTGGTTTTGGTGGGGGCAGCGCCTGCCCTTGCTCGAGTGAAGTGTGGGGCTATTTGGTAGCCTTCCCTGAGCATTCCCGCGTCATAACAGATTGGATTGCTTCCCTGGAAACTTGAATTTCTGGAGTTTATAGTGCTTGGATTGGTACAGTTGCGCTCTCTCTAGCGTCTTTAAGTCTGAAGTCTAAATTATATAGCATTTTGACAGTTTTCTTCTGATATCACTATGGATTAGAGAGGAAGACCCCAAGAGGAAGATGGATGAGGGGCTGCCAAAGGCACGCAGCAGTTCTCACCCTGTGCATTATTTTAAAGTGCAGCAGGTTATGTCTTGGCTCATACTCGTGGTACCATCTCTTGCATCCCCATGTCCAAGCTCCTGACGGTTTGGTCGGAGTCTGGGGTTTGATTTCCTTATGCCCTTGTGTCTGTAGGTGTTACCTACCTCAAAATCTAAGCAATTTGCAAATGTCTGTGGTTGTGGGTTTGTTGTTGGTTGTTTGGGGTTTTTTTTAATCCTCACCATTTTAACTTGCTTTCATGGCTTTGTAAGATGTTTTCTTGGTTTGTAGCCCTGTAGCACTGTCATCTTGTAGTGCCTCCTGCTGTTGTAGCACAGGGTGCTTGTGCCTTCGGAATTGGTGCCGGGTTGTTAGGACACTTTTCCTCTCCCTTCTAATTTCTGGTACTTCTCTACCTGCTATTAGGTTTTTTCACTCCTTCCTTCAATTTGGATAGAAACTCCACCTTTCTCTGGGACATATTCTTGGTGGACCAAAGCTTTGATAGTGACTTGCTTCTCATTCAAAGCCTCAATGACTCTCAGGCCAGAGGATGTAGCAGTGGTGGCGATACCCACTGCAGGGCATCCTACACCCTCTGGGCAGGTCCTCAGAGCACAGAGTTTGCAGTGGGCTTGAGCCACCCTTTGCAGTGCTGAGCCCCAAAATCTGAGTTTCCCTTTGCTTTTGTCCTGCAGTCCCACCCGCTGTCCCTGTGCAACACCAGCGAGGATGAACACACCGAATCGGGATTTATCACCATTGTCAAGCTTGAACAGCCAGATCGGGATCCCAACCCCTGCTTGTCGCTGGCTAACAAGGTAGGTGCAAAAATGCCCTGAATGACACCAACCTGGGAAGTGAAGCCCATGGTACAGGGGAGAGGAAGAACAGGAGACAGCAGGAAAGAGTTGTTGGAAGGTAAAGGACAAGGATAGAGTGATGTCCTGCGGCAGGGATACTGTGCCAGACATTCCCTATACCCATCACTCCTTACTTTTTGGACTGCGTGGCTTTCTAAAAGGTGTGGAGTTTTCCCTAACCTGACTGCTGTGGGATGCTCAGACCTTACCCCAGCATCCCATACACTTTACTGCCCAGCAGCCTTGTGCCCCTCCTGTTTTCCTGCCTCCCCTTGCTTGCTGGCCTGTTGGGAGGATTTGTGTTTCTCCATGTCCTCTGTCCTGTGGGAAAACATGGACACAGAAAACATCTTCTGTGATCCTGTCTTTAAAAATAATACTGTGATACTTCACTGGATGAGGCATGTGAAGAACCAGTGCTGAGCAGTTCCGACAAACGCAAACCAGACAAACTAGTGGTGGTGTGGGCCCCCACTGTCTGCCCTACAGCGGGGTGGGAGATCTCAGAGGTCTTCAGAGCAGGTCTCTATGAAAGAGGTACCTTAGTGAAACAACAGTTACTGTGTCAAAAGCTGAGGTCACTGGTATAATTTTCCGGTAATAAGGAAGTCGGGTAGGAACGAGGGTCATTTTAAACCTTAAAATCTTTGTGTCTCTGATAAAGCTGTGTGGATAAGGCTAACATGAGCTTTTTCTTCAGTGGTTCGCTGCACCCTTTTATTGTCTCTGTACTAAATGTTGTTTTCCACAAGCACTGTATAAAAGTAAAAAACCCCCTTGTTTAGCTCTTGGCTTTATCTGGATTGCATTCAGGTGATGCTGGCCCTGTTGTCGACTTTCTGCTGGTAGTGACATGCTGGGGATGGGGACAAGGTTTTTTGTCCTCCCTGCAGCTTGGCTGAGAGGGCAGGCAAAACTTGGACCAAACAGTTGTTCCTGCACAGCAGCTTTTTTTTGCAGAGGCTGTGACAACAAAAACAAGGAAAGGGATGTGATGCTGTGATGGATTTGCCATCTCGGGACTGCTCCCAACCAGCTTCCCTTTCTGGGCCAGGTCGGAAGCCTAAGTTTGGTTTGGTGATGCCAACACAAGCTGGTGTGCTGGAGTCACCAACCTGCTGTCAGTTACGCCACGTCTGGAAAAGGGCCTGGTCCCACCTGTGTGTGTTAGTGATGCACGAGGATGGGAGGCTAGAGTGAACCCCGGGGTTTCCAGTGCATATTGTGATAGATGTGAGAGCAAGGGCTCTGCGGGTGCCACAGGGAGCACAGCTGGCTACTCCAGCTCTCCCGTGTCCATCCAGATGTGACCAGCGTGTTATAGTGGTCCCAGGCTGCTGCGTCTCATGGGGAAATTGATCACTGCCTACAACACCCTGAAAGGAGGTTGTGGAGAAGTGGGTGTTGGTCTCTTCTCCCTAATGACAGATGATCGGACGAGGGGGAATGGACTCAAGCTGCGCCAGGGGAGGTTTAGATTGGATGTAAGGAAGAAGTTCTTCACCGAAAGGGTTATCACACACTGGAACAGGCTGCCCAGGGAGGTGGTCGAGTCACCATCCCTGGATGTGTTTAAGAGACAGGTGGATGAGGTGCTGAGAGATATGGTTTAGTGGTAGACAGATACGGTTGGACTGGATGATCTCTAAGGTCTTTTCCAACCTAGTGATTCTATGATTCTATGATTCTATGAAATGTGGGGGCTGGGGGCAGCAATAGCTCGTTTGGTCAGTGCAGCCACTGTGGAGGGCCTTGAACAGGATTAAGGTGCAGCTTAAAAGACTCATCTTCCACTTAAGAACCCAAAAGGTTTAAAAACTGTTTTGCTAATTTTGTCTGTAATCTTTGAGTCTCTGATCACAGTACTGGAAGTACCGGTGTGTTACTGAGTCCAGGGATCGGCTGAGGAAGTTCTGCACAGGGAGGACAAGACATGGTGCATTGCTGCACTGTGGTCATCCTCACCAGCCTTGATCCCTTCTCCAGGACCACTAAGCCCTCTCCCCCCACCCCAAGCAAATAAACCACTCAGTTCATCGTCATGCTCATGACTTGATGGTGACAGTTAACTGGCCTTTAGTCATCATTGCTTTGTTACCAGAGCCGAATCCAAGGCTCGGTTTTGAGATCCAGCTGAACATGACATCAGTCGGCATCCTGCTTGCAGGCAGGTCTGCTGCAAGATCTCACCCAGCGAGGCTCACAGCTCTTCTCTCCCCAAACAAGACTGGTTTAGCCATGAAATACAGGCAGGTGCTCTTTAAGCTGGCCACATCCCCAGGCCCTGCCTTGTACCTTGCTTCCTCCTTCCCCCTGCAATTGCTGTCTGACTGCTTCTCCATCCTCCTGAAGCCTCTGCCAAGCTCCAACATCATACAGCTGTCTTCCTCAAAACCCATGGACAACGCTTCTCCTCAAGAGCAGGGATGTGGCTGGTGCTCGCTGGAGCAGGAGCCTTGTTTTCCCGACACGTGTTTCTTGCGGTAGAGCTTTGCACGTTGAATTGCAGCGCTGTATCAGTGATGATAAAAATAGCCATTGCACAGTGTTATCAGAACCTCTGCTTTAGCTGTCACCCAGCCAAGCAGCGCGCACAGACAGTCCTGTCCAGCCCAGCGTGAGGATAACTCCCCCAGCCACCTGATGCACTTTTCTGCTCCTTCTCTCTTAAATTCAAGCACTGCTTCAGCATCGAAAGCTAAAAGCCGGTGGGGAAGGTGTTTGGTCTGCAGGGGCAGAGGAAGGCATGGAAAATACCTTTGGAATCAATTCAAAGTGATTTAGTCTTTCTGATGCCTCATGTATGATTTTTTTGGCATTGGTTATTTTTCTGAGTGAACCATTGATTGCAAATCTGGTTGACAGACTGCTGAGACCTCCTAAGTCATCCTGTAAATACATATTTGCACCAAAAGTGTTTCAGTCCTCAGAGAGGGAGGTCAGCTGTGCCGTGTGCCTGAAGAGATCTGACACAAAGACAGCAAGCACTCCGAAAGCGATTGCAGCAAGGAGGTTGTGAAGGGCTTGAACAAAAGTGTCCTTTGCAACAGAAGGATGTTGGGAAGAGTCACTTTTCTCAGTTGTTCGTTTCCCCACTGCTGGTGTCTTTAGCAGGATAAAATCTTTGTAGAGCTGTTCGTTGTTCATCAAAGCTTGGCTGGCTCCAACAGGTGAAAGTCACTACCTGAAAGTCCTGTTTCTTCTTCAGTGCTGGCAAACTCTGAGACTCCTTTGATCCCAGGCGGGACCCCAGTCTCTGATCCCTGTCCCAAGCCTCTCATCCCACTTTTCCAGCTTCCCCATCTGGTCTACCAAACCCAAGAGCGTCAAATCCTATCAGCAACTCAAAGCCTTCAGCTCTGCTCCCATGGTTTTCTCGACCATCTTGCACCTCCATTCACCTCCTCATCCCTGTCCCCAGATCTCTGACACCTAGCTTCTCCTCGATGAGGGGGTGACTAGCACTTGCGAGCGAGGGATGGAGCTGAACCTGTTCCGCTGCTGCTCGTTGCGCGGGGAATGCCCCTTCCCTTTGCTTGGCCGGCGCCCTACGTTTGATACCGCAGCTGGGAAGCGGCGGCACTGACCTCTGGCCCCTGAGCTGGGGTTTGGCAATGCAGTGGGTAAACTGCTGCAGCCGCTCCGGCAGCTCCCTGTTTGCACAGGCGCTCGGGACGCGCAGATCAAAGAGCTCCGCATGAGTAACCGGCCCAGCCCTGCACTTTGTTCACGTTCCCGTCTCCCTTTCACAAGAGGCTGCCTCTGCCTGCCTGGAGGGCTGGAAGGGCTTGGTGGGAGGACGTGGGTGACTCCACAAGGTCCTCCGGGCAGTGTGCTTTGACCTCACCAGCATGGCATCTATACTCATTTGGGGGGGTCTCAAAGCTGTCCTCCTTGGATTGCAGCAACCGGTGGGCTGTGAAAAGCCACCCCATTCCTGATCCTAGACCAGACCTGCAGCCCCAGGCATCGCCTGAGCTTCTCCTTGGTGAAAATGGGGTCCGGGAACCAGGGATAGCAATGTGTATGGGAATCAGACCCATAGACAACCCATGGCTGGTGCAGCCACGGAGAGAAGTGGGTCCTGCAGAGGTTTCTGCTGTCCTGGGCTGGGAGAGATGCGAGCGGTCAGCAGGGCTAATGGGGCTGCAGATCCCTTCCCAGCAAATCCAGCTCTGAAGCAAAGGGGCACATGGCTCAGACAGCTGGGGAATAGGGTGTTTAGGTTTATGGCTTGCTGTGATTGCAAGCCCACCAACTAATTTGCCTCCACAGCTATAGGGAGAAACCATCCATGAACCGCAGAGCTCTAGCAGCAGCGAGTACTGCAGCTCAGCACAAGTGCAGAAACCAAGGTGTAAACTGTTTTCTGACCCTGAGCAATAGGTGCTTCTTTCTCCTGTGAAGAGCCAGGGAGGCACATACATATCCAAATGGAAGATATACAATACAACATGTCTACTGAAGCTTCTGTTCTTTTGGACAGGCAAAGCTGGCGGGGGAGCGTGGAGCCCGTGCAATCCTTTTTGACATTACTGATGACGAAAGCGCTGCTGATCAGGTACAAACCCCACTGGTATTATCAGCTAAACCACAGTGCCCCTGTCCCAACCTAAAATATGCCCAGGTCAGGAAAAGCATCCATCATTAGATAAAAGGACAGATAGGGGAACTGGTGCCTGACCTTATCAAAACCCTGGGCTGACTCCTGCTCGCTGGATCCATTCCTTGTGGTTCTTTCATGCACTTACCACTTAATTTCTGATGCCAGAGAAATGCAACAGCGAGTGCAGGCCCATGAGGTGATGCTGAGGATGCTCGGTAAGGGTGTGGGTTAGTGGGTCAGATGGCCACCCTGATGCAGGTCAGTCTGGAGGAGAGGGCAGACGCGGACACTTGCTAAGCCAGTCTGCTGGCTGGCTGGACAGTGGTGGAAAACTGCCGGTATGATCAGAATGTCTTGGAGATCACAGCGGGAGGAGGGGGAATGCTGGTGGATCTCACAGGAAGAGAAGGGAAAGGATTTCTGTAGGGAAGGCAGCAGGGTTGTTGGCAGTTGACAGGGGATGAAAGAGGCACTGAGCAGTGTCCAGCATGTGGAGACACCATCAGAGGAAATGAAGAAAGCCATGCTGAAGAGTTGGTAAATGAGGAGGAGCTTCCATCTGACTTCATCATAGAGGGGTAGTGCAAGTTTGGGGGAGCAGTCGGTCTCTAAAGTGTGTGCAAGAAGCATTGGGAGGAACCAGACATGCCTGGGGGCCAGGATAGTCCTGTATCAGGCTGTTCTGCTTCTCTTACTCTGTTTGTTTCTTTACAGCTGAGAAAGCCTAGAGGTCTGAGTCAGCCTGTGGTTCTCATCAGGGGCCGTGATGCCGAGCTTCTCATGGGAGTTGTGAACAAGAACAGAGAGGCCCATGTGAAGATTGAGGTCAAGGAGCCACCAGCTTGGGTGAGAGACACACCATTCCCACTGCCTTCGGTATCCTCCCTTCCAAGCTGCTGTGCCATGGAATAGGACTTTCCCAAAGATGCAGAGCTTTCCTCCCCAGGGATGGAGGTCACAGCCCTTTGCAGGAGCTGTCTGTCTGGCAGCATTCGGATGACGTGCTGCAAATAAAGTCTCAAAAGTGCTTTCAGCTTATTTAGTTTCTTTCACTTAATCACCACAAGTGAGGGGAGGGGATTCCCTGTCTGTTTAGGTGAGGTTTTCTTATGTTGTGCGACCTTAGACCGTGGCCTCTAGGGAGCTGAGATGCTGCATCTGCTGGCATGTGCAGAGAAGAGTGAACCCTTTTTCTTTTTCCAGTAGGGAGCAAGGAGGTAGAGCTTGGCCAAGGATCATGCATGGTCAGGAAAAGATCGGGATTCCCCTGCATAGCCTCTAATTCCCACCCCTGCCACACAACAGTAATTTCTTTCCTGTTTTATCCAACAGCCAGACTACGACGTGTGGATTCTTCTCACGGTGGTCAGCACTGTGGTCGTCATCATTCTGATTTTTGTTGTCCGCACAAAGTGCCAGCTGAACAGAACTCAGGTAGGAATCTCACGGAGCAGGTGTTTGTGAGCAAACAGAAATGCATGAAGGGCAGGAATGGACACAGTTTGGGAAGGGAAATGTGCCTCTGTGTGAACTGGAGCTGTGGCCGCTTGAGGCAGGAGCAGCCCAGGGATGAGCGGGAGTGGTCCTGAGACAGGCTGGCAGCATCCCTCATGCCTTGCTCTCCTCCCGCCGCTCCACCAGCACTGCAACCTGCAGTTCCAGCACCTTTCAGAGCTTGTCCCAGGACCTTTCAGAAGCTGCAGAGCTGGCCCACAAGCTCTTGATTTTAACAGTATCGTCTGTATTGGTAGAGTAGAAGATTAAGTAATTTTGATAAATATCTAACAAACTAAATAACTAACAAACTAAATAAACATGTCTCCAGAGTCAGATATATTTCCAGATTTGAAAATACCCCATTTGTCCTATAGGAAGACAAGCCTTTGTGGCTCAGAAATTCAGCACTGCTAAATGATTTTGAATGTCCAGTGCCAGTTGTCTCCTACTGGTGACAAAGCCTGCTCTGGCTAAGTCAGGTCAGACAAAAAGTCACCCCTGGAAATGACTATCACCCCCAAATTCCTGCTAATCCCATTTTGAAAACAGAAGGGCAGTGAGAAATATGGCAATGTGAGGCTGACCCTCTCCTTAGAGCCTCCTCTTTCACTGGCAGGACTCCTTGCAGCAGCAGACCATGCAGGCCATCGGGCAGCTAGCCACACGCAAGTACCAGGCAAGGTGCCGGCAGGCATCACGGTGGGACTCAGCCAGCAGCTGCAGCTCGGCTCCGGTCTGTGCGATTTGCCTGGAGGAGTTCAGCGAGGGCCAGGTAGGCTGCGGATACGGCTCTGAGCTTCTCGGTCACGGTCAAGCAGGAGCTGCAGCGGGAGCTGAGCAGCCTGGCAGGGGCAGGAGACCCTTGGGATGTTTCTTTTGGCAACTTCTGAGGGCTGGGAAAGGACTGGCATCAGTGGAGGTCTGCCTGCTCCTTGGCCAGAAAGGCCCTGCCCCGGCTGAAGTCACTTGCCTGCAGATTTGGATTCCCTGAGGACGGGTCTCCAGCTGTAGGGTAAAACATCCATAATACATCCACGTTGAAACAGTGGGGCAAAATTGGGGTTTGCTTCTCCAACGCATTCAGCCTGAACCCCCTGTATTCTGAAGGGCTAACACCTCTCTGGACACTCACACCCCAGAGCTGGACACGGCGAGCAGAGCCAGAGCTGCCAGGGGGGTGCACAGCCTCCTCCATGCAAAGCTGGGCTGCAGATCACTTTGTTAGATGTCTTTCTGCCCTACAAGGCTCGCTTCCATCACGGAGGACCCGTCCAGGTCTTGGCACATGGTTCTCTTTGCTCACCCTCCTCCTCTTTTCTCCACCTCTCTCTAGGAACTGCGGATCATCTCGTGCTCCCACGAGTTTCACCGGGAGTGTGTTGACCCCTGGCTGCAGCAGCACCACACGTGTCCGCTTTGCATGTTCAATATTCTCGGTAGGGCTCAGACACAGCATTCCCCAGCCAGGGACAGGGTTGGGTGCAGGGGTTGGTTGGGTGCAGGGGTTGTGCCCAGGAGGTCCAGGTACCCTTGGGTGATGCATACAGTCGGTGAGTCAGCAGGAGCCTGTGTCTCTGTGCACATGGGTGTCAAGGGGGGTGCGTTCATGGAGAGGGGTCCCTGTGCATATCAGCCCCCGCAGTGTACAGCCAGGCCCTGCTGGGACCTGCACCAAGAGGAGGGGTTGCCAGTCCTGGGACCTGCAGGGAAGGGAGGTGGGATCTGAAGGTCAGGGCAGCAGGGGAGGCAGTGGGTTTGCAGGACCATCAAGATGGTTTGGTGGTGGCCGTGAGGAGTTGCAGGGCATGGGTGGGACATGGGGGTGCAGTAGAAGCTCACCGGTGCTGGGGCTACCACAGCTGGGCTGTGGGATGTATGCTGGATGCTCCCTTCTCTCTCCGCAGCCAGAGACTCCGTGGACCGGGCTATGGCCTCTGGCTCCAGGCTGGTCCCTAGGGACATGGAGCCCGGACGGCGACTCCACCTTTTCCGCCAGCACCCAGGACATGCCCTTTACCACCTCCCACACGCGTATCCTCAGAGGAACTTCAGGAGCTTTCCCCCGGAGCCAGCCCATGGCAACCCCTTCTTCCACTCTCCGGAGCTCTCCCAGCTGGGTTTTGGCACCATCCACTACATGCCCTACAGGCCAACCCCCTCCCTGCTCACCTGCAGCCGCCCGTCCCCCCTGGGCCCGGGCTTGCTGGGCCAGCAGCATCCCAACCCCTCGGCATGTGGGCAGACACTGCCACCCCACAGTACTTGTTCTCTCCAGCCCCAGCCCCCCTGCCTGGGGCTCAAGGCAGCCCTGA